TGAACACACGCCAAGAATTTCTCTGAGGTCTTCTTCCCCAGCTTTGGTATCCTGAGTCTCACTAGCAGGAAAGAGAAGTGAAGTTTGTCATTCACTTAATTCTCTGTGATACCCAGATGATCCAACATGGGGTCTGAATGTGGGGCTGGCTGCCGGAGAGTGACTGCTGGAGCTAGTGGTGAAAACGATGTCTCTGCAGATCACTTGGCCACTGGAACAGAGAGTTCCACCTGATTTGGTCTATTTTAAACTCCTGGCATCTGTATTCAGAGCGAGGATGTATCCCTGAAGACCTCACATAAATCTGAGTTTGCATAATTCATGACCAACCCTGACCAAAGATGATGGACATTTTTTTTTGACAGTTAAAAATGGTTCAGCTATGTGGCAATAGCTTAGAGAGAGCTTATAACATACACAGCCCACTATAATACGGTTTTTGATTGGTCTGAGTATAAAATGGCCACAAACTTGAGTGAGAAGCCCAGAAACATCATTTGCTGACTTTGAGATGCTGTGAAAATTTTCTTAGCTCTCTAACTCCAGTTTCCTCGTCTGCCCCACTACATCTCTGTGTGGGATTTGCTAGACCTTGGTGCGTTAATGTCTTAGAAATGTAAACTCTTTGCTGCTGCCTGTGGACTAGGCAAAATCCAGTTCTTCTTTTATGCTTCTAACCTTTATTTTATTTTAGAGACATGGTTTTGCTGTGTAATTCAGACTGGCCTTAAACTTGCTATGTAGTTCAGACTGGTCTTTTCATATTTCTTATTTATTATTATTTTTTATTTTTAATATTTTTTTTCAGAACTGAGGATTGAACTCAGACCCTTGTGCCACTGGGAAGTGCTTATTCTACTGAGCCATCTCCTGGGCCCCTATTTTTAATAATTTTTTTTGAGAAAGAAGTAGCAATGAGACAGTTTCAAAACAGGTTAGTAGGACAGTTACAATAATTAATACATCGTGTATTGTTGTCTTTGTAGTAGCTATTCATAGTACAAGATGCAGACATGATATCTTATCTAAACACTATCAGTTCAAAACTTCCTTCTCATTGAACTAAGAGAAAGTAGCTGTATATCTATTTATGTACCTACAATATATGAATGGCAATGGAATACACATCTCTGACAAGAGTAAACAAAAAGGGGGAGATAAATGAAGGACCATTTCATATATATATATATATATATATATATATACATATATATATATATGATAACACAAAATTCAATTCTGTTACTCTCTGAGTGGTGTAATGTTTTTGAGAGCTATGACCATATAGAGGATCAGTGCTGTGGCACAAGATGGAGATTTCTGAATCTCAAGATTCAATAGATCCTTTAGGCTTCCCTCAGTCAAGTTCCTCTCTGAATGAAGAACTGTGCTCTCGGTGTCCAGTAACTCATCAAATGATTACAGAATCTCTAAAAATTATTCTTTGCTCATAACTCTTGGAGTTCAGAAAAGTCTGTTATCAGGGACTATGAAAGGCAGATCGAAGAAGGAGCATCCACTTTTAGAACAGGATGTAGGAAGGAAGCATCAAGAGAGGTAGTAACTGAGCCAGGCATGGTGGAACATGCTTGCAATCCCAGTACTCAGAAGGCTGAGGTGCTAGGATTGCTGAGAGTTTTAAGCCAGCCTGGACCACACCGTGAGCTGAAGGCCAACCTGAACTATGTAGTGATACCTTGCCTCCAAAAGGAAAGAAAGAAAGAATATCCTGCTGATGCAACTCTAATCTTTGGTTCTCCATTTGGTCTAGATTCTCCAAATCCCTTTAAACTTTTGCTTCTTTATCTCAAAAGTGGAGGTTGAGAGTGCTCATTACTGAGTAGTTACAAAGATTAGTATCCACATATTGCAAAATTCTTTGCAGACACCAAAGCAGCACACACAAGGTGTCAACCATAGTAATCATTGCTCATCTGCTCTTCAACCAGGACCGATTCAATGCTCCCCACTGCCAGGCCATGAGGCCAGGGGAGGAAGGCTTACCTGGACCTCACCTGGAGTGGACAGTGGACAAACTCAAGGGTCCTTGGAAGACATTACACAAGTCATGGCCTGTAGGTAACATCTGTGTAGGCCATATACCTTAATGAATGTGAGACATCCGATTCTCATGACACCTAGCATTTATCTCTTCTATCTCTGGTAAAAGGTATAACTTATATTATGTTTCTAGATTTTTCTTTAGCATTACAGGCTCAAATGTTTATTTTGATGACTTCTGCCTTTAAAAACATATATCTATTGGCTAAAGACAATTTGAATTTATGAATCTGCATTCACCAGCCCAGTATGATATCACTATGCTCCTCTGAACACTGTAGCACAATGATTAGGAACTACTAGACAACTTAGTATTTCTTTTATAATGACTATGCACGACCAAAAAACAATTGCCTCCATCTCTCACTGATTGTAAATTTTCTGACACCAAAATTCCAGAATTACTGAAGAGGTATCATAGGTTAAAAAATGATAATGAAGGCTGGGACTACAAAATTAGGGAAGGTTAAAAATAAAAGGGCTTACTAGAACAAAAAGCAAGAGAAGTGGGTTTGTGGAGGAACAAATAGATGAGGATAAAAACAGATATTTTGAATGCTGATAGTGCGGAGCCCCTCACAAAAGCCCTGGTCCCTCTTCTCCATTGCAGCCTGGGAAGGTGCAGATGGAAAGACAAGCAGATGGGCAGGTTCAGGAATAGCAGAGTAAGAGAGATGAGGGGAAGAAATAAAAGCAAACTGATATAAGTGGCAGGTTTATTCGCACATGCTTAGAGAGAGAGGGAAAAGACAGCCAAGCCCGGCGTAACATGACAGCCTGGCAGGATTGTTATTCCCAGAAGCTGGGACACTAAAATATTTCAGCCAGTTTTCTGCCTTAAATTCTCTAAGGGAAATACTGCTAACAAAGGTTGCCCACGTCACATGTTCAGCATGATGCAGACATTACCATTCCCTTTGCTTTGAGGAACACAGACTGTCACAACCTTTGTCTCCAGGACGCTGGAGCTGCGGTCACCAGCTGGAGAATTCTACACTTCCATCCTTATTTTCTCACTACACATGTATGCATGCCAACACGTGACCATGCACACACATACAAACACACCATGTGAAAACACACACACACACACACACACACACACACAGAGCAATAACTCAGCCATCTGGACAGCCATGCTCTCCCACAACACCTTTTTTTCTTCTCAATTCTCACAGCTTCAACCTAAGAATCATCTGCCATCAAAGATGCCTGGAATTAAAAGAGGCCGAACTTGCTTTGCATGGGGAGGTAAAGAGAAGAAAAGGTTGGAGTACGAAAGAAGAGTTCAAGAAGGGGGAGATCCACAGAGGGAGTGAGAGGGTTGGCTCCTGTTAGTCCACAAGTCACCCGTATTTCTAAAATTTGTGGATTAAGAAAAATCTAAAATTCCAAATAAGGTCATGGTCCACTGCCTATGACCCCCATTGTCCACAGATGTGATGTTTACTTCGTTCTTCAAGCCTACACAATCACACAGGGGAGAGACTGCTCTTTTCTACCTCCCTTGGTACTTGCTGTAGATTTGCACAATGCATAGAATATATAACCTGGCAGACCTGTGCTCTGTGTCAGTGTTCTGTAAATTCCTCAGTTAATGAGTTTCATGGGAGGAACTCTGACGAAAGTGGCTCAAGTACCACTACATCTCTCACAGTATCTAATCCATGGCATGGCATGCAATGGATGCTAAATCACTGTCTCTTAATAATGAATGAGTAAATAAATGAGTGAGTTAGTGCATAATGTACTAGCTAAATGGATATAAAAAGAAATGGATTGCTGTAAGAGGTGTGAAAGGTAATAAATAGAAAAGATCTGGAAAATAAGACATAGAGAAATAAAAGGAAAAAAGTATGTTCTGAGCTATCACAGGGATATACAGGCTATGGAGAGTGACCTGTCTAGGGCCTCTAGGACACCACAGCATCCATCCGAACAAGCTAGAAACAAGACTATACTCTTGAATGAAGGAGGATTAATTGAAAAATAGCCCACTATTTTATTTTAAATTAATATTCACCTTGATAGCATGATTTCTGTTGTTGATTTTTCCTATCCTCAAGGTCTTTCAGTGCTTCTACTCACTTCATTCATCTGTCTACGCCAATCTATCCATCCATCTGCCCATCATCTACCCACAAATTTATTCACTCATTTACTCACCTACCTTTTTGTCTGTCAATCCCTTTATCTACCTTTTTTAAAAGAAATTTTTAATTTGATTTGAATCTTTTATTTGTTTGTTTATTTGATATAGAGTCTCACTATGCAGCTTGGATTCATAGTGATCCTCCTGTCTCAGCCTCCTCAGAGTTGGGATTACAGGCATGCACCACCACACCTGGTTTCAATGACTGGAACAGCATGCCTGGAGTTCTGGGGCCAGCACAGCCTGTGGTACCGGGGATCAAACCTGAGTCCTTGAGCTTGATAGGCAGGTACTTAGACTGCTGAGCTATCTCCTCAGGCCTCTATCCAGCTTTCTAAAAGTATTTAGTGAGTCCCATCTAAAGCAGTTAAAGTCCTATTCTACCTTATATTTATATCCTTGCATTTATTCTGGTTACTTATCATCTCCTAGGCTCCCATTCACTCTATGCCAGGCATGGTGACACATGCTTGTGATTCTAGCATTAGGAGGCTGAAGCAGGAGGATTGCAAGCTTGAGGCCAACCTGGGCTACATAGCAAGTTCAAGGTCAACCTAGGTCATCTAGTGAGACTTTCTCTCAAGTAAATAAACAAGCAAATCAACTGGCATTAAAGGTAAAACACTACAGCCACTTCCTCCATGGCCACAAATGCCCATCAGTGATGATAGGAGGCCTGAAGTTAGCCTTGCAGGATGGGTGTGTTTGCATCTCTATCCCAGCAGAGAAAAGGAGATAAGCAGCTTCCATGGAGACAGAGTAGGAGCACAGACCTCTGCAGACTTACCAGCTTGGTTTGTGGTGATGTTGACAGAGACATGCTGGGGAGGGAAGGGGCTCTTGCTAGACACTCCATTGATAGCCTGGATGTCAAAGGTATAGGGGGTGTGAGCCCATAGGCTGCTGATGGAGACACGGCACTCAGTCAGGCCCAGCTGTTTGGGCACAAACTCCACGTTGTCGTCACAGCGGGAGCAGCTCCGGCGGTCCGACCTGCACTTTTTGCAGATAATGTTGTAGGTCACATCATCCCGCCCACCAGTTTCCCTTGGTGGATGCCACTCCAGAATGATGGACGTCTCATTGACAATAGAGATGACATTGCGGGGACCTGATGGGACACCTGCAGGGAGACAAAGAAGGGTACCTTGAGGCTGGGCTGAAGCTTTCCACCCAGAACCTCTCTGGTCTGCCAATAGACCCACCCCATCCCACACACTCACCCCCTTCTTCCCCAGCCCCAGATCTCCATGCCCCAATCAATTCTGTGCAAACAAGTGGTAGACAGAGATGACAATCTGTCCCCAAGTCCCATTGAAGTTTTATTTCTTTATATCACATGTGCTGCGAGAGATGAGTTCAGGGACGTGCGTGCCAGTCTCATTGTCAGGAGCAAGCCACATTTTCCAGCCAAAATAAGGGCTAACAAAATGTGCACATACTGGACACTTATTGAGTGCTTTCTCTTTTCTTAATTGAAGTGGAGCTCAACAATAGAGGGACATGAGTGACCCTTCCAAAGCCCCAGTAGATCTTGGAATCTGTGTGGCATATACATGGCAGCAAAGAGTCTTCCACTAGAACAGGTTGCTGGGGTCCTGGGATAGATATTCATATTGCATCAGTTCTGGTATGCAAAGACAAGGCACATTACTTCTGTAGAAGGTCATACAGCCACCAGTTTTGACCCCATGACATAAGAAGGGCACAGGAGCGTGTTCAGCATGCACTACTGGTGCTTGACATGATTACCTCATTTATTTCCCCAAGAAACTATCAGAAAGATACAAAAATTATCTCAACCAAGTATGAAAACTATGGCTTACAGAGGAGACTGGCTATAGATCATGGGGCATATAAGATCTAAAGCCACGGTGGAGGCCCAGACCTGCCTGACTCAAAGCACATAGTCTCAACCACAGTCTAGATTTGACTGGACTCTGTCTCTTGTAGACCAATTAAGCTCCCTGGACTCAAGGCTCTTCTCTCAGATCTGCTGATTTATGCCTGCTTCCACTTCAACAGAAGTAGAAATGCCTACATGCAAAATTCCAGGCAGCCTGGTACTCTGAATACAAAATGTTGGGGAATTAACTGTTACTGGGCTGGGCATTTTGAGATTAAGTTGGAGAACTTTCTGCTTAAGCACTGAAGAGATCATAGCCTCAGGCTTTCAAACCTGAGCCTCGCATATCCTCAATGTCTAGGATGGAAATGAATCTCACCCAGAAGCCCCCCTTCTGAACGCTGGGTTCACTGGCGCAGCCGCTTGGATAGTAATGCATTCAGAATTCACACACGTGACTGTCGCCAGCTGAACGAAGACATGTGTAAAGTGGTTCATGTTGGAGACAGGAATCAAATGCCAGCACACAAAATGAGGGAATAACAACAAGGTCGAGGGGCACCAGGGAAAGATTCTGTGTTGAATCAGTCAACAGCAAGCAGCTAGAGCAGAAAGCAAATATTAAATCGGATTCTATTAAAATGTGAAAGAAAATCAGTACTGTACTATATAAAGCCCATTAGGCCCAAGCAAAGGCACAGCACTGTTGCTTGCTTGTGACAAGGCAGAATTTATGGAGTATTTTCACTGAAGTCTTGCAAACAGTCCTTAAGAATCCCCCACCCCCCACCCAAGAACAAACAACCATCTCTCTTTGATTCAGCCCACAACTTGTAGCAGGAGAACAGTCAGTACTGTTGCAGTGGGCTCTTCCTGGACCAGGTCAAACTTGCCTCACACAATTCATTGTCATCCGTGTAGGTCAGTGTCTGTCTTGGACACATCTGTTTGGTTCAGATTGAAGACACCATGAATAGGAGTTTGCATGACCAACAACATGGTGACTTGCTGCCATGCTTTTAGAACAAATAGCCTAGCCACACCCACAGACCATTGTTTCTCACCCTCAAATAAGTATTTGCAGTGAGCACTTGCTCTAGGTAGTGTCATTAAAAACCATTATCCTGTTGCATCTTCAGCCCACCCTCAGGCTGCCTTTTGGAAAGCATCATCGGGAGCAGGGCAGAGAGAGTTACAGGCTTTCTCTTCCTTCCAGCCTTTGGAGACCTTTCTCTTTTAATAATCCCCTCTCTCCTTGGAGTTGCAGCCTCATCCTCTCCCCGACTGTAGCTTCTTAATGTAAACTTGCACAGTTTACCACTTGCAAGCCCAAAGACCATCATGTTCCTTCTTTACTCTTCAGCCAAGCTCTTCCAATTAAATCTCTCCTCACTGTCTCCTCTCTCAGCCAGCTGTAGCCCAGCTACTTCCCTGCTCTTCCACCAGGACCACTTTCCCCTTCAGACTTCTACCCCAACTCAGTCCTCACATTCCTTGACACCCCATGTAGTCACCAGCCAGTGACATCTGTGTTCCCTGCCTCAGAGACCAGCACCACAACCTGTGCACTCCATCTCCATTTCTTCAGATATTTCCTTTCCTCTATATTCCCTCAGCCTCTGAACTCCAGACCTCATCAATGTTCCTGTCCAAATGCCACAGACTCATAATTTTTATCAAGTATCTTTTCTGCATCTCTCTAATCTACTTCTGTCAAAGTGTGAGCACTAAAACACATGGATTCACAGCATTCCTCTGCTAAAAGTCCTTCACTTTCCAACTACCTGAAGCACTCATCCTCTTTCTGTGTCCCTCAAGTCCCCTGTGGCTGGGCTGCTGTTGATCTCATCTCAGCCTCATGATCACCCCTCCCCCACCCATAGTATGGCTAACAGGAAAGTTCCTGAAATTTCTTGAATGCCCTAAACTCTCTTCCTATCCCTGGGCCTCTGCACAGTGTCCTTCCCTGCATCTGAAGTTCTTTGAACTCCTTTTTTTTGCCTAAAAAACTCCTGCTCACCCTTAGACATACGGCATCTATTCTACTAGCAATTTTCCCTGATGTCAAGGAGACATGTACTCCCTTTCTGGTCTTCTTTAAACCCATATCCAGAGGCCTAACTCAAAATCTATCATTGCATTATGAGGTTTTTCCCCTCTGTGTCCTCCTGGTTGGCAGGAGCAGCTTCTGGCTTGTCTCTGTGATTCCAAGCCCAAGCAGCAGTTCACTGCCACAAGCTCTATCAACCTAGTTTCCCGCTTTTGTTCAGTGCACATGGCGAAAGGTTCCTTGTGTGTACTCCGCACCAGCATGAGACAAGATGCCTGCTGTGGGTACATGGGGAGGCCTCAGAGAGGCCTCAGAGTAGTGACTTCAGGGAAAACCCACTGCTTGGGAACATGAGTGGAAGAAGCTTGGTGAAAGCTGGAGATGTAGCTCAGTGGCACAGAGCCTGCATGGCATGTGCAAGGCCCTGAGTTTGATACCCAGTACACACACACACACACACACGCACACACACGTATAGTAAAGCTGCAGCAAATAAAGAGCTGGTTTGGCATGTCCCACCCTGTACCTCATCTGTAGCTTCTGGGTGTACCCACCATGGTCACCATGGTCAGTGCTACTCTATGCCTGTTCTTTTGCTCCCAGCTGCTCAGGAAGAAAAGCAACAGATTTTCCAGGAGAATGTTTTCCCAGGTTTATTCAGAAACAGCTTTTATGTGAAGCAGTCACTCACTAGGCCTTTCCCATTCCTGTGTGCTTTTCAGAGTGAACGTGTCTGTGTGACACAAAGTGGGATAGGATGCAGGATGCTGTGGTGGGTGAGTCCAGAGGAGGATTAATTTCATTCTCTCCCTCCGAGAAGCAGGAGCAGTCATTAAGAGCCTTTCCCACAGAGTGGATTCAGGGAACCAGGAGAGGCCAGCGTGAGTGTCCTCCCTCACTCACCTCCTCATGGGCCAGGCTGCACCCTGCTCATCTTGCAGAGTGGGTGCCACCCACTTTTGTGGAGGTGACCTGAGTCTGGGCCCCAGCAGTGACTACAATCCCACTTATTGCCAGGTGTTCATTCACTGATTCAGCAAATGCGCCCTGCACTCTTCCAGGCACTTTGGAGACAGTGAAAAATCTACTGGCAAATTTTCATTCTCATGGAGTTTATGTTTCTCTCTAGTGAGAGAACACAGACAGGATGGAAGGAAACAGAGAGGTAAGTGAGGTCATTTCAGCTAAGAATATGTACTGTGAAATAAAACAGACCCAGAGCTCAAATGGCCTCCTCAGGATGCCAAGCCCTGTTCCTTATTTCCACAAGGTCTGATCTGGTTCTAGCTGGCTAGAGACTTATTTCTGGGTGGTTAAAACAATACCAGCCCCGGTTCTCTGTGCTCTGGAACTCATATTAGATGGGCACTCTCTTGAAGGCAGGTTGCCCACCACTTAATCTGAATGAAGAGCTTGACCAAAGCAAATTGCCTTCATGCATAAGCTCCGTAGAGGAAAGCACTAGTGCTACCTTCTCCTTATCTAGGCAGCGGCTTCTGGGTTTGGGTTATACTTTGCAGGGAATATTCATCCAGAATGTGTCCCCTCAGCAATATCCCCAAGAAGCAGAGAGAAGAGGTAGAAGAAAATCTGCCACCTCTATTACAAAAAGCTCTCAGGGACTGCCACAGCAGGGCTCAGCTCCATGGCCTCCTTATCTAAGCTCCCTGCTCTTGTGTCTGCTTCTTCATTTTTTCTTAATTACACATAGACAAGCTTTTTGAAGCTCCCTGATCTGTTGCCACGGTTACTACTGATGAACACATCCTGTTAAAAAGACTAGGGAAATTTCATCCTTTTAAAGGATGGAAAAAGTGTTGAGCTGTGATTTTTCTATTTGGATGAGGAGGGGGCATGGTGGTCCTCAGTCATGGAGATGGGCTTCCAGTGTCTTTCAAGATGTGCCTGAGAGCTTGGTTCAGCCCATGTGGAGTCCGCTTATCACTAGGACTTAAAAGAATTTTTAAAAAAAAATATCTTTCAAGAGCCATAGGATCAGACATAGTGTTGTCATCTTGAGATAGAATCTTCCTGCTTTTTAATGTGGTTTGGGCCAGATAAATTTCTTTAAAGAATGAAGACAGAGGATGAGTGACTGAGCGAAGGTGAGTTTATTTGCAGGCATTAAGATGGAAATAAGAGCATTCTTGAACAATCAAAGGGAAGATCTGCTGAAGAGAGGTAAGCACCCTAAAGCCAATTTCTTCCTCAGGATTATTAATTGGAC